CACAACTAGGATTTGTATGCAGGTCACCTAGTAGACCACAGGCCTGTTGTTAGGATCGTGGAATTAAGGAGGACGTGAGAGACTGCCACGAAGATTAGGGAGATAAGGAATGTTTATAAAAATTTTGGTGGGGGAACTTCTGTGAATATTTATAGGAGGAAGGTCTGAGGACAACATTAAGATAGATTTTTATGAAGATACGTTGTGAGGATAGGAGGTGGATGGAAGTAGCTCCGGATCGAGTCCAGTGGCTGCTTTGGTATGACGCTTAGGATCGGATGAATAGAGGCAAAACAGGCTGAACTGCGGTCTAATTCGTGGTGGCAGTAAGTGTGAATCTGGAGTACGTTTGCTTAACTTGTACTGCTCTGCTCTGAAAAGCAATTACCGCAATGCATTCAAGACGTCAATATATTTGTGATCCGTACAAAGCGACGTCCCTTTATCCGATCTATTATGTCTTATTCACATCTTTTGTAGGGACGTCTGCCGCTTTTCGCACGTTTTCGCTTTGATACTGAGTTACATTTTCTTTGCTTTTTTTCTTTTATGTGCTGGTTAAAAGCAAGTTTTTCTTTTTACGTTGCCTCATTTTTCACCTCAAATTTTTTCTTCCCGTTTTATTTGATTGTATTTTATGCGCCTTCGGCCTTCATATATCACGTGGGCCTTGTTTTCTTTATTCTGTGTTTCTCGTATCTTGTATTCATGCAAATGACGTCTTTATGTTCCCAGAAAACACATGCAACCCTTCTGTCTACAAGTAAATGCACGTGTTACTAAGCACATGCATCTCCCATAGTTGTACTAGCTTCTTAGCATTTGTGTATCTATCCATCATCGACGTTGTACTCCAGACTTTAAAGTCCAAGAAGAAATACAGCGAGAACGTGGTTTTTTGTTTCACTACAAGAGAGATCTGACGCCTGACCTGTACTCAAAATTTTTTTTTATATAGAAATCTCCGACTTTTGCAGAGGTTGTAATTTCGATAACGAGAAACGGCGTGAGTGATGAATTGCGAAGGACTAATTCATTTAACGACGCTATATTAACTGCTTCTGAACTTTGAATATTTAGTAAGTGACTTACCTCTGGAATGAAGGCCAAAGTTTGAGTATAAGAAATTCCCTTTTCATTTCATATCCGGATCTTTTCTCAGAGTTGTTAACGCAGTGTTTATTTTACTTTATTGTTTATTTAACTACACTGTCAGTTATCTCAGCCTATGTAGCGAGTAAAACTACAGAATTATCGGTCAGGCCAGTGCAGTGTGTAGGTTAATACCGGCAACCCATTACTTTAAGTGAAACTCAAATATTTATATTCGCAATATTTTGGCACCCATTGGAAATAAATTGTCTCCAAATATTTATGTTGATATCCATTGAAACGTGGTTAACGACTTTATTTTGTTTTATTGTGATATTCTTGGATAATATTAGCCGTCCAAAGGAAATCGCTGGATTGATGTATAGTATAATTAACCGTTAACGCTAGGCCATAACTTACATATAATAGTGTATATGTCCGGTCACAAATCACAGAAAACAGGCTTTGTTTTATGTCTCAATTAATATGTAAATATAAGAGCAATTTAATATCCTGTTACTATCTCCGTTACATATTACAATAACTAAGGCAGAATATAAACATACTTTTTTTCATTGTAAATAATAAGCTTTATATTGACCTCTACTGTTTTAGCGTCACTTACCTCGAATCGTAAGATAACTGCCGGCCTTGATGTATTTTTCCCTTACTTTTATTGAATTGTTAGATGTTGTCGTTTTACTCTCATCAAGCTACATTAGTTGCTGTTTTAAATTTTAAGTGATTTTTGTCCTTGGATATTCGCGGATTGATTTCAGTATGCAACTTCGGATTTCGGAAATGAGTCATGTCGAAAGTTGTATAGAGGTTGAAAGTTTAATGCACATTTAGGTTTCTTACTTTCAAGTAAAATTTCACCATGTAAGTAAATATCAAAGCTTTGAAGCCGTACGCTCTTTGTGAATTTATCCCGCACGCAAACTCTTTCGAAACATTTGCGTAATGATGACTTTCCGTTTAATAAGCTTTCCTTGCCAGGAATTCTCCAGCACTTCACTATGACTCAAATATTTACGTAAATCATAAAAAAGGACTTTTCCGGCACTAACCTAAGACTTTTCCGTTCCAAAAATAATTCTGGAAATATCAGAAAGGTCTCCACAGATATAGGACAACAAAATAAAAGCGGAGATACCTATCTGTGTTTCGAGCAGCTTTCGAACTCGTGACTGTAATGTTCTAGCGACTTGGATTCCGCGGTTGTTGTAACTTGCACGCGTCTTGTTTCCGGTCAGTCTTTCTTCTTAAAATTATAAAATGTGACTGGATAATATGTATTACGTGACGTTGATACTACGTAATTTGTTTGCACTTTGCGTGTTTTTATTTGAGAAAAAAGTATTCTTTTGTAAGTGTCCATAGTAACACAGGTTTTATTCTTGAAAAGCCGCAAACATCCAATCGTTGAGAGATGGTGGGACAGAATTTGCAACAATCTTTTCTGAGTTGAAATTGAAATCAGAAGGGTCAGTGTTTCTAAGTCAGATATTTAACGTGTAGCATTCAAAGAGTTAAAATATGCCAAGAAATCAAGAAAGGTATGTGGAGATGCGTTAACGATGTTTCGCCGGTAAGGGCGTGTTCTGTGAGAGCGGCTTTTTCGGCTTGATGGAGCATGTACCAACATGGAAAGACTTGCTAGACCAGTTTTTTTACATTTAATGCGGCCGGTTATGTTTTAAGCAAACTGAAGTATCCGACAACCCCGTCCATCCTTTAACTCTCGCCTCCAGGCGCATGATACCATGTTGCCATGTCCAGTACCAGTTTATTTTATGTACAGAAGATTTATAATGCAGGTCTTATGTAAGTGGATTTCCAGACATGAACAATGTTGCCAAGTTTTATAAAACCCAACAACCTTCTCCTTCCAAATTCTCAGGATACCTACTCATCAGCAATAGGAGAGTCACGAGGGAAAGGGCATTTTAGGAGACGGCTGGCTTATAGCGCCGTGTGGTGTGATAGAAGTTTACCAACGTTTCGGAGGTCGTTGCTGCCTCCATCGTCAGGGCGATGAGTGATCGACACTGCGGTGAAAATCTGAAATATGACATTTCAGGACTTCTGTTCATCGTTTTAAGTTAGAATTTAGAAATGATAGATTATTAATATATTTGCACCGGATTTTGAACATTAGTACAGATAGGCTAATCAACTTTATTTGTACCTTCAAGTCAATGAAAATAAATACAGGAAATTAAGAAATTCGTGTATGATTCGAAGAGTCAGAAGATGGACTGTCAAAGCTTTATATTGACAATTCTTTGCTTGTTACTTTTAGGCTACTCTCTGCCATTTGTAATCTCAAACATGAAAGGGTGTTATGTTTACATCAGTACATTATGAATAGAAAAACTACACTGCTTCGGTGTCCATAAAATCTGTTTTCTTTTCATGTGTTATGTTTTGTCTTTCGTATTTATAGAATTAATCCTTTTTTTTACTTCAAACTGTTTTAATTAGAACTAGTGAAATTTGGATAGTCTTATTGTACAATTTTTCACTTCTGAGAATGGAACACATTTTCTGAATCCCCAGATTAATTATAGACACGCGAATGGAACAAAATTTGAAACCTCATTTATGTGGATAGATCCGCTGCACACATTTATTTACCTGCATTGCTTTAATTTCAAAGAGTGAAGCCCCGTTGTTGCTGTAAGGCAGCTTTGAGAGAAAGAGACATGGACTTCGCAATGCAAGTGTCTGTCTACCTGTCACGTCATAGTCTGTCATTGTACTTGGCAGTCTGGCGTAGCGGTACTTGTGTTCGGGAGATATCCAGGTCAAAATCTTGTTCGAATTGCCAGCTGTTCCAAGACATTTGATGTGTCTCCTCAGTCACTGCAGTCGAATGCTTAGTTAGTACCGTAGACCATGACCGCCTCCTTTAATATTCTTACCTACTTGTCATTCATGATCACATTATAATCTCATTCTACGCTATGTAACGTATGTAGTTAATATAACGTCGTTAAATAACCTACGAATCACATCCTATGTGTAAGCCTATGTTATTAAGGAACTATATCGAGAATACACGTGTAGAAACTTAATTTATTGAATAGCAAGTGATTTATTATTCGCCTCAAGTCTGTCATGCTTTCTTATATTTCTTGCATAGTTCCGTAATTATGCACATTATATATATATATATATATATTATTGACAATGAGTTTTAAAATGGTTTGTGCTCTTTAATCTGCGATTTTGTTAATTTGTATACCATTTATAAACGGAACATAGCTACTTATGTTCGTTTTGTCCTTGTTCCAAAGAATAAGGGACCTCGATCATAACTCTGTTATATGTCTGTCTTGTCCCTGCGTTTACTTTTGTTTCGGAATATATGTGCGAACCTAGTATTTATTAATTAGTAACGCCTTTACGGAAGGGTTAATTGCAGTGTGTCACATATACCATGACTGTACATTCTTCTATGAGATTAACTCTTTAAAGACCAGTGATCGTATGTACTACCGGAAAGAACCCGTTCCAGGTCAACGGGGGATGATTTTTTTATGTCTTGACCTTCCTTTCTGTCTTCCTTTATTTATTCCTTGTGTTCATTATCCTTTTAGTACCTTCATCTCTTCTTCTCCACCCGTGTTCCTTTCTGAATTAATCTGGTCGTTCTGTAGTCATTCATCTCCTCCTTTCTTAGTTTCATGTATCCCTTTTGTATCTTTATCACCTTCCTCTTGGCGACATTACTCAGAATTTTCATACCAGCCGTGTTGTATTGAATGCCAGAACGTTTAACACGACATCAGCGCCGGTATAAATGTCTCCTTTGCAGTGTATGACTTTAAAATATCAAAGAAAACTAAACTGGGCTCTTTACCCTATATGACCGACATCTGACAGCAAGTGTTTTGTTCCAGGTGGTGGCCATGTCAGGCAACGGAGTGACCCCGGTGGATGACCCAGACAGGAAGTGTCTGAAGTGTGGAGACCAGTGCCCCGGATTCGCGCCGCATTTCTGGAGGTCAGTTCCGCTAGTCTTGCTGAATTCTGTTTTAAGTAACATTTGTTAGACAGTTTTGTACCAAGTAGAGTGAGAGGAATCTATACGAATTAAGCCAAACCATTGACAAAATAATTGCAGACCGTTTTCATACTCTGCTGCAAAAGGTTATAAAAGTAAGAAAAGAAATAATTGAAGATGTGTCATTTGGTTATTGAATACCACATATGAGGTAATTTTATGTACTGTGTATTTTTTAGACGTTAGTACCTTTGTAAAGGGAAAACATGTCATGAACGAAAACATTTTGGAATCGCGTTATGAGCACATTTTACTGAATATAAACAGTCACATTAGTCTTGGTACATTGCATGGCTCCGAAGAATTAAGTCTCTAAGTTTACTTTTCTTTTTTATTTCGTAGATTTGTTTTTAAATTAATGTTTGTTATCCGAAAGTTTCCCGTGATGTTGCGGAAATTATGATTTTAAGCCCAGTCTTGAACCAGCCTGTTTTGCATGATTTCACAATTGTTTAATAACTCGTCCAATGACCAGGGTGTCTGTGGAGATAATTTTCTCAGAATAAACAGTAGGTCTAAAATGTTTTCTAAAGACCATTGTTCTTATGGGCTATTGCAAACATCTGTGCTACGTGTTTTCTTTGAGGTAGCAACGTAATTCTTAACACCGCGTAGTCGAGCTACGCCCTTTACAGTTTAGAAGGCGAAGGACTTGGTGATTGTACGAAATTGTTCTTCAAGGAAAGAAGACAGTTTTTGAGATACAGCAATAGGTTAATGAACTGTAATGGGATTAACTTGCTAATGTAACGGGCGGTTCAGGCCAGTTTTGAAAATTATGCGGATACTTTTTGGCTTTCAAGATCAACCATAGGCGTTGTTGCTACGGTTCGCATGCTAGATATCTCGCTGTTATTTGCGTTCTAAGTATAGTCATAAAATAATGTTTGATTTATTTTAAACGTTCTGTAGAATTTATGTTACATATATAACAACTAAAGAACTGGATTGGAACACATTTGTTGAGTTTAGAAGGCAGATTTGATTGCCAGAAGCAAGTTTTGGCAGTGACGGATTGAACTTGTGGAGTGCGTTCAAGACCATTTTAGTTGGAACTAACTACATGGTGGAGAATCATTCTTTAGAAGCTAATAATAATCTCGGTTAGCCAAGAAATTACTCGTCTTTTATGAAAGTTCATTACCATGTTCAGAAGAGTCCGCCACTGGCAACTGTCCTGCGCCTTATGAATCCAGTCATACCCCTAAACCACATCCACAGGTCCATCTCTTATTTTCAGGGTTCCTAACCAAAATTTTATACGCATTTCTTATCTCCCTCACGTGCAACATGCCCCACCCATTTGATCTTCCTTGATTTGATCATCCCAACGATACTTGATGGAAAGTGCAAACTGCGAAGCTTTTCATGATACAGTTTTCTCCCCCTCCTCATCAGTTCATATTTTGGTTGTAAACTTAAAGTTTATTTGAAACTAAAAGGGTTGTTGCAGGAATCACCACCACTGAACGGAACAAAATGCAATGCGCGTTAGGGGTCATGAATATAAAATTTACGAATTAATAAGGAAAGAAAATGCAACGATGTTAAAGCTGAAAGAAATTCTAGCTTACACCTCAGAGTGGGTTGATACATACTTATTATTTGCATTTGCCCCTCTGTAACCTCTGCAGTTGAAAGGGCATCGTAAAACGTACTAAGTAGCCTCAAGTCGGTGATATTAGAGGTTCCCAGGGCGAAGAGTGTAAAGTCTACTGACTTCTAGGATGTAGCGCGTTTAAGAGCAACGTTCTGTCTTCATCTCCAGGGCGATGGATGAAGCAGTGAACCACATTATTATTAACTCGATTTTAAATTTTCTGTCTCAGATCCGCCACTAGATAAGTCAGTCTGTGTCTGGAGATGAGAAATATATTTTAGTAAATTCTGTCGGCAGCGAAATAACAGGTTTTTCTTGCTTGCTTGTTGTGCTTGAACGCTTCGTATCCATAGCAGCCACAGTGACTTCGGCTCGTTTATTAAGCTGAGTCCAGCAGTGAATCAGATCGAAATGGTCGCATAACGTCGATGGCAGTCACCTGTTCAATCCGTTTATCTTTATGAAATGATTAAATCTTTGTGTATTTAACGAGCTGGGTTCGCTCAGTCATTGTGGTGACATGCTACAGATTGTGTGATATTCGATGCGTTCACGTTGGCTCTGTGGTTCATTCATTTTCCTCGCTGTCGGCAGGACTCTGCTCTTGGGAATAAAGCGGCTGAAGCCTGAAGCTGACCACTCACCGCCTTCTATATTCGAGGTGAAGAATGAGTGCAGCTTTCTCTTCTTTCTTTGTTCATGCGTTCATGGCGTGGTGCTTAGGCAAAGAGGAAACATTACCTCTACGTATGTTCTTGAATTTATCCAAGACCGAATGATAGGTTGATCTTTAACGGTGACTAAGGAATAACGAAGGAGGAAAATACTTACGCCTTCATAATTGCGATTTCACGGTTTCAAATGTCGGCTGTCTAGAGTGAATTATTTTTTCTGTGTCTAATCAAACGCCAGACTAATGTCTTAGATTATACCACGAACAGTTCTTTCAACACCCTTTCCAGTTCACTATTTACGAACCATTGATCGATGCTACATAACCTGAGCAGTTGAAAACGTGTCGTTAAATGAACTAAGGATCAGTCTATTTCAAGAAGTGTAGTACAGTATACGTCGTCTCATCCTATTCGGAGTTGCGTTACTTACAGATGATACAGCGTCTTTAAATTTCTGAGGAAGAGTAACGTTGTCCAGCTAGTAGCCATCAAACCACGAAGTCGTATAGGTTAGTTGGAAGTAAAGTTCCACACATTCGAGACCTCGATGACTAATGGAGATGTGTAGTCGGATAAAGAGAGTCCCGGGTTGTCTTTAATTAGGAAGCTGGGTGGGATAAACTCCAGCCTGGATGCGGTTGCTCTGTTGGGAATCTGACCGCTGTTGTCCACCTACTAGACAGTAAATTCTCTGTCTGAGCTAATCAAACTCTAAAGAATTTACGTATAAATAAAACAAAAAAATGTTCCTGAAAGATACCGTCTTGTTGACATCATGAAATTTTAAGTTGTTGCAGCTGTTAAATAAAGCAGGCCTGTCAGTCTAAAATAAGGTACATTTTGATAGGATATTTTTTGTCCAAACTTAAAATATAAAAGGTAGAGATGGCGTATCGGTAGTTTTTTCTTTACACAGATACTGGGTTACTGAAGACAACTGCACCACTTAATGTAATGAGCCTCTCAGCAGCCGTTGTCAAGTAGTGGCTGTCGTGGCTATGGCGTCTTGTGTCACCGCTTTGTCCTATGAAGAACGCTCTCTGCTGCCTACGGAAATAGCTCGAGTACTTTGTCATTGCCCTTGTAAGAGGAGTCGGTGTAGCTTACTCAGTAAATCGACAGGATCGAGGTTCAATTCCCGGCCTGACTTATCTCTAAGATTCCACATTTAGGTCGCCTTTGGGCTTTACCCAATCTCTCTTACCCAGGTTTCGAATATGTTTGTCAAATACTACTATTACTCCTTCGTCCCAGATTCGAATCGTGTGTCTGTCTAATAAAAGTCAGACGCGTTACCACAGAAGGGAAGTTGTCGGAATGTAAACGGAAAGCATAGAATGGGTAAATAATTATATCATAGATACATTAAGAATGAGCAAACTAGAAAATGTTAATAGCTACAAGTGAGCTATAATTTAATGCAGGAGGTAGATCCGAGTTCCATGGGTGCTTAAACACAATGATCGTGACGAGATAAATAGCTTCTCAGCGCAGGTCTGGCAGGAATTTGACAGTCTCCCGGGTCGGGACCTTATCTCCCGCTGGTTATATTTCAAGCCCAATCAGTGGCACATGTTACTGTCAGTGAGAACCATTTATGGTTATCTCGTACTGTAGCTTGTCCTTTTACAAAGCCCATAAAAGTGGGCAGGTGTACATGTGTCCTTCGTAGTCACAGAAGTGGACAAAATCGGTATTTTGGAGGGACTCTGAGGAAGACCACCCAAATGAACACGATGCATTCAAGTTCATCGGTAAGTTAAATTTCTTGTCTTCCTTTATTCTCATTGGTGTAAACATTCTGTCTCGCATAACGCTGCCTGGCGAAGCTATTATTTCGGTCTCAACAAAGGCAGTATCCCGAAAGCACGAAGGATGGCTACCCACAAGTAGCTAAATAGCTTGAAGTACAGATAAGTGACCATCTACCAGACTTAGAAATTAAGCTAACGCACTAATCGCAACAACAATTTGTTTTAAATTATTACGCAGTTTATCATTATTCGGCTTATCAGCAAATATGATAGTGTTGCGGAACCTGGATGTTTATAATTGTCGTAACGAAAGCCTTATCACTTCCGTCTTCAATAAAATATTCGCATTTCCCCCCAGTCCTCCCTTTACCGAACGCGCTATTCCACGCTAAATAGCCGTTTCAGTTGATACATCGTAGTTAATCTAATATCCATCCATACGATAAACCAACTGCTCACTCGCAGTTGTGGTGGTGGGCGAAATGAGCACAGTTGATGTCTTCCATTGCCTTCGTATGGGCGTGGTGATCACCTCTGTTTGTTGAACCCAAAGCTGGCCGCTTATAAAAAGGATTCTTCCTATGACGTGTGTAGCATACGGCCAAAGCCGGTGCCATTAGGCAACACAGAGCAGTCGGAGTGTTTGTGTGTATTTCAATACCGTTACGACTCTGCATTCCATCCCATTAGAGAATGCCTTGTCCAACGACGTTTATGTGTTACGCCTTCTTTGCTCCGCGCATTCTGGAATAATTCTCTCTGTCCATTCTCATATTACATTTCTAATAGTAATAAGTCGATTGTGTTGAGATTCTTCTTTGACGGACTTGGTGCTGGCGGTTTTGATGCTTCTAATCATGCTTCCATGCTTTCAGTTGCATATCTGTTTGATGTTGAACTGAATAGCTCTGA